ACACACACACACACACACACACACACACACACACACACATATATATACACACACACACACACACACATACATACACACATACACACACACACACACACACAAGCGCCACCATCAGGTCAACATGATATTTTCTTTGGTTTATCACCAAACACCTGCAGAACTGAAGAGATCCCATCGGCCTCGCTCTACTGTGTGTTCACTGATGAGTAGTTTAGTTTATTAACTGGATCTTCTTTAGCTGACGTCTGCCTGGGCTCCACAGAAAGGACAAAACCTAATAAATACAAAACATGACGTGAAACAAACAGTTAAAAATATTAAAAACAGTATTACAGTCAGATACATAGTGCAGTCAAAGACCAGGATGTATACTGTCATAACCGACCGTACACACAGTGCATCCATCATTTATACAAAGAAGGATCAGGAGAGCACTAAAGCAATAGAAAACGTCAGATGGTTAGTGGCCTGAGGTGAGCCTTTACTTGTTTTTTAAATGACAGATTGTTACCTGTATGAGTTATATGAGGTAAGTTCCAGCAGTAATTGCATGAAAACTAACTGTACGTTTGAGGAGGTTTGTTCTTGGGGGTGGAGGTATCAAGTGACCTGAGCTAGCATTCCTTGTGTGATGGTTGTCTGTTACATGTGTATCAAAATATTCAGATGTCTGATTGAATACTACGTTTCTGAAACACATGAGAAGGCTGTAGTGGAGTTTAATTTCCACTGAGAACCATGACAGGCGAGAGTGCATATATATCTGCTAATCTGGCAGCTCGGTTTTGAACCAGTTGTAGTTTATTTAAGTCTTTCTTAGCTGCTGCTGACATATGAATGGACAGTGTAGCAGGTGACAAAAGACCAAAGACTGTAACACCTGACAAACAACAGAGAGTTAGATAAGCAAAGCACTTTCTGGTCATAGCCATGCTCCTTCCCATTTTAGTGACAATGCCATCAATGTGCTCAGACCACGACAACTGTTCGTCCCACACTGCACCAGTAGTTTAGTCTTCCTGACCTGTTCTACTGCCGAACCTAACAATGACAGGTGAAGCTGTGTGTCACCATTCAGCATATTCCTTGAGCCAAACACAATACTTTTAGTTCTACAAATGTTCAGGGCTAGTTTGTTCACGTTCACCCAATCAGACTCTCTCTCTAGATCCTGATTCAGAATGGTTGTTGTTCCTGTTTATTTGAAGCAGTGCTATACAGTGTCGTGTCATCTGCATACATTACCATTTTGACATTCTTAATGACGCTGACGTTAGCATGCTAACACAAAGATTCTAATCATTATGATGTCTGTCTGTATGTCTCTCTGTCTCTCTGACTGTCTGTCTCTCTGTCTGTCTGTCTCCGTGTGTTCAGGACGTGGACTCTGCCTACCTGGTGAAGGCCGATCTGGAGGATAAAGTCGGAGGTCTGACCGATGAAATCAACTTCCTGCGTAACGTCTACGAGGAGGTACCGAGACGTCCTCCTCGTTTATCTTCCTGTATTTCATTATTTGGAGATGTTTTGGATATACGTGTAAAGTTATACTTTTAATAATTAGCATGTTGTGATTTGTTTGATCTATTATTCCATTGTTTGTGTTTCTGTATTTGCATCCTGTTTTTTTATGTGTTGTCAAAAATGTACGTTTCATTTTCATGTGTTTAATTAATTAATTAATTAAATGTGATTTTCTTTCCATAATTAACACAAGTTTTATGTATTTTCATGTGTTTTCTAAATTGCAGTGTGAACTAGAACTGCAGCAATCAACTGATTAATCAATTATTAATAATTGATTATTCATTTAAGTAATTCTTTAAACGTTCCATAGTTCCAGGTTCTCAAATGTTTTATTTCTTGTTTTAAACCGTAATAAAATCTTCTGAAAAACAAAACATTTAAATTAAATAATTTGAATTGAAAGATTTTACGTCTTTTTTTTGATTTGACCAAATGATTAATTGATGAATTAAGACAATGGGCAGAATATTTAATAAGGAAAATAATAACATTTGATATATTTTATATAATATTTAGTATATTTCATAATGTCAGTGATGAACTAGTGAGCAGCAGAATCTCTTAGGTTTTACAACATAAGTGCGGTTTACAGTTTAAGTTGAATCTACAAAGACATAGATATAATTATTCATATTTTTATTCTTGATTACGAGATGTCAGAAACTAAAGATTGTCAAACAACTAAACTGATATCATCATAACGTTTTATTCAATATTTCTTTATAACTGTAGAGAATCAAACAACAATCTGCCCAGAGGGGTTTCAGAAACAAACAAACTTTAACTGAATAGAATAAATGTTATGTTGTATTATTTGTCTGTGGACGTTCAGGATCTTGTGTGTTCTGTGTCTCCAGGAGCTGCGTGAGCTGCAGGCCGGTATCAAGGACACGTCGGTGGTGGTGCAGATGGACAACAGTCGCAGCCTGAACATGGAGACGATCGTGGCGGAAGTCAAAGCTCAGTACGAGGAGATCGCGGCCCGAAGCCGAGAGGAGGCCGAGGCCTGGTACAAGAGCAAGGTGAGGACGAGGAGACGAGAAGACGAGCATGAGCGTCCTTCATGATCCATTATATTACAGCCTAACAGACACATGATACTTTCTACCTGCTGACCCGACATCTCCAAACAAACAGAAGACACGGTGTTATTCGAGAGTGAAATCTAAAACGGTTCCAAACAGACACATGAAGACATTTAAGAGGATCAGTGAGGGAGGAAGTATTCAGATCCTTCACTGAAGTAAAGGATCACACTTTAAACATGAAGTAAAGGTATAGAGTATTAGCAACAAGATGTACTTTAAGTATCATAAATAAAAGTGTGTTATATGTTGTATTATTACTGATTCATAAGCGGCACTGTTGGTTAGTTTCACCGTCTTTTATAAACTCATTGTATTTTTTATTTGTAAAACACTAATCTGAAAAGTAACTGGTAACTCAAACAAAGTACAATATTTCCCTCTGAAATGTGGTGGAGTAAAAGTATAAAGTGTGGAAAATACTTCAGTAAAGTACCTCAAATTCGTACTTAAATACAGTAGTTGAGTTGAGTAAATATACTTGAAAACTCACTTATGTTTCACACTTACAGGATCAGTTCACCCACAAACACGTTTCCTCACGTGCTTAGTGATTGAAGAACTATAACTGTTTGAAGATGATGCATTCGTCCCATATCATCGCTCTCTATCGCTCTCTGTTCTCACGTTGAGCTTCCTCTGTCTGCAGTTCGACCAGATGTCGGTGCAGGCGAGTCAGTACGGAGACGAGCTCCGCGTTGTGAAGGGAGAGGTCGCCGAGGTCAACCGGCTGATCAGCCGCCTGCAGAGCGAGATCGAGTCCGTTAAAGCACAGGTACGTCTACAGGAAACACTCACAGATCAGTC